TTAGAGAAGTATTACGTACAGGGGCAACCGCGTAAACACGGCGCAGCTCATCTGCGACGCGCTAATCGAAGACAAACTAGACACGATACTCGTTTAAGTCGACAGCGCCCAGCATGTTGAAAGTTGGCAGTATAGCGCCTGGCGTCGTACGAGTCAGAGCTCGATGGGCAGCATCGAAGATTTGGTTGGCCACGTTATTGATGTTGTTATTAGGGCCACCGCCAGTGCAAAACTGCAAACTGTTAGTGTTTGCGTTGGCCCAGATACCGCGAGGGGGTGGTTGCGCTTTAGGCGGCATCGTACGAGTGTGGTTAGAAAGAAAGAAGAAATTATTGTAGAAGTGGAGTTAAATTGATTTAGTATAGAGGAAGAAAAGCTGGAGGAGAGAGGGACGGCAGCTCTATATATCGTACGGAGGGAGCGGTTGCTCTCGTGGAAATCCTCCTCCACTAGAGTAAACAAACGCCGCTGCTCTACCGCAAGTTAGGCAGCCGCGTGCTCCTAGGAAAACAAACAAACGCAAACATGTCCGTATGAGTGGAGGAGGGGAGTATTGTAAAGGGCTGCGCCCGTGATCTCTACTGAAGGGATCACGTGATCTTCGACCACGTGATATACCTTCTGTACGGACACGTGATCAGAAGCGAGTAGGTATAAGAGAAGTCTGTACTTAGTTATCTTCTCTTTTTCTCATCTTTTAGCTTCTGTACGATAGGTAGAAGCATACTCGTTCGCTAGGCCTCTCCGCCCATAACAGATTAAGCTTAGAGAAGTATCAGCACCTAACCCCGTGTAATACTTTAACTACCTATAGATTTAGTGGACTAGACGGATTAATAGTAGGACGCCTAATTAAGATTTAAAATAGCATATAATTACTTAGGATCTTAAGGTAGCGCTAGTGGACTAGTCTAGGGTCCTGGACTAGTGCCTAACTTAGCACTCGACGATAAGATGCTGACTCTAAGCGACGACGAGATAGACGAGGATGCCTATAACTTACGAGAGTTGCGGAATCTTAGGCACTAAACTATAATTTAGGTAAGGCAGATAGCTAGTCTATAGGAAATAGTTAATTAGCTTATGAGCTAGTTAATGGCCACGCTAAACGAAAAACCTATTAGGAAACCTAAGATAGTAACTCTAGACAAGTATAATAGAAGTCGCACTAAACTGCGAACGTTTCTTACTAATATTAACTTGTACTGTAGATACAACAACGTACTTAATAATAAGGAAAAGATTCTTATAGCTAACACCTATATAAAAGAAAAAGCAGCTAGTTAGATATAGCCTTACGTAGAGGATTTCTTAGCTAATATGCTAAATAAGGGCACTAAGGACGAGACACGTGCCTTATTTAGCAGCTGGGCCAACTTTAAGGAAGAACTAGGACGTATCTTTAGGGAGGTAGACGCTGAAAGCTAGGCAGAGAAGGTAATCTCGCGCCTAAAGCAGACTAAGTTAGTATTAGTATATATAGCTAAGTTTAAGTAATACTAAGCACGAATTAATTAGAATGATTCGGCGCTTTAAATAACATACGAAGTAGGTCTAAAGAAAATAATTAAGAACGAACTTATATACTACGATAAGCCGAAGGATCTATACGCGCTAATTAAGTTAGTAATAAGAATTAATATAAGACTATAGGAATAAAACTAGGCTAAGAAAGGAGATTAACCTTGCTACCTGTTCGCTAACTCTTAACGACAACGTGACCGTAAGGATAAAGACGGCGATACGTATATAACTAGTAAGGTATAAGATAGGCCTAAGAATAAGAATAATACCTGAGGAAAGTTTAACGACGGCCTTTCTAAGGAAGAACGCTAGAAGCGTTATGATAATAAAGTATGTCTCTGATACGGGAAGTTAGGATACTTCCGTAGAGACTACCTAGTGTAAAGGGCTGCGCCCGTGATCTCTACTGAAGAGGATCACGTGATCTTCGACCACGTGATATACCTTCTGTACGGACACGTGATCAGAAGCGAGCAGGTATAAGAGAAGTCTGTACTTAGTTATCTTCTCTTTTTCTTATCTTTTAGCTTCTGTACGATAGGTAGAAGCATACTCATTCGCTAGGCCTCTCCGCCCATAACAATTTGCGCGAAGAGGGTTATAAGGAACTATATAACGCCTTACTTAAGAAGATGCCTAATAGTAGTCTAAAGTATAACTAGCCGGAACTAGCTAAAGTAGCTAAGGTAGCTAAGTAGATAGAAACGCTATAATAGTAATAGCAGTAGTAAGTAGCTAGCTGGTAGTTTGAGCCCGATGAAGTAGGCTCCGACGAACTATTAAATGATGAATAAGAGTACTAAGATATAGTTTTAAAGAATTAAACATATGTATCTCTATATATAAGATCGAGTCTTATATAGGAACTGTATGAGTTCTAAGAGTATAGATATGCAGGAATTAAAGAAATGGTTAGACAATGTAACGGGCTGAACGCCCTTTGGATAGCTCCTCGATGGAATCTCGGCCTACTCGCAGAACCCGGGTGCTGTCTCGAGCACCCGGATTCTCTGCGCACCGCCCGAACGACGTTCAGACGACAGCCGCAGGACCCAGAAGCTGCCTCGTGCACCTAGACTTCACCGGTCCGATTGTTACTCGGGTAACCAGCTTGTATATAGACAGCTACGTAGCTTGGGAGCTTAGCTCCTCATCGAATACAACCTCTTGTATACCTCGCGATTGCTCCCCAGAGCGCAGCCCCTTA